TATTAACCTCATAGAAGGATGCAACTCGGGTAATAGCACGCCCTGGCCTTATCTTGTCAATTACTTTTCTAACAAAACCGTCTCCAAGTTTCCCTTTTCTCTGTGTTTCCACCCCGCCTCGCCACATGGGGAGGAATTACCTCCCAGACGCACGTGCTGGCTGCTCAGAGGAGGAGGAATCAAAGCGCAGTTGGGCTCTGCCCTGCCTTCTTCATGAAGCGAGCTCTGCTCACAGAGAAAGCGCCCCCCGGTTCAAAGCCCTCCTGCCTTACTCACGTGAGTAACTACACTAGCTCCATGGAAGTAAAAACTTCCAGGCCTGGATTAATTTATCCCGGGGTGGGGGTCAGACATAGGGCCTGCAGGCCAGATGCATCCCAGGCTGAAGTTTTAGGGTACATCAACGCCTCCTTGGCAGCGACGGGGAGGTGGAACTCAACACGCAAGGGGCGCAGATGCCTCAGTGTGGCACTGGGCATGTGCCAATGAGCTGGATGGGCCCCATGGTCTGGGCATGGGTCAACTGCCCCATTCCTCCAAGGGCACTCAGGCAGCGCACAGAGGACTGGCACTGCCTCATTCTGCTTGTTTCAAGGTAAGGCCTGTGCTCCCCCACGCCCTGCAGCCCCAGCGGGAGCCGATGCCCTCGGCCTGTCCTCTGGAGCGTGCAGCACTGACAGACGTGTTAGCAGCCTCACTTGTATTCACGGCGCGCAACCAGCTGCATGCTGCACCAGTGCACTGGGGTGCTGAAGCTCTCCGGAGCCTACTGCGTGCACTGCGGCAGCACAGACCTTCAGAGAAGCCAGCCCCTGGTAGCACAGGGCAAGCACTGAACATAATATATCAGTGTCTGGAGCATGACTCCCTTTCTCCTGGGCTGGCGGCTGTGTTCTGACTAGCCTTTCTTCTCTCAAGTTCCTCCCAGTTAACACACGAGCCAGAGGCAAGAGTCAAGCTCCCAGCAGGAGAATCACGTAACAGCCCTTGAATCAAAGAAGCCCAGAGCTCTGCTTGGGGAGACAGGGTTTTTGGAAGGGGGAGCTAAGAGGTTCTGGAAATGCTGTGGGTCCCACGTCCTTGGCATCTCACCTGGGCAACCTGCTCTGTGATGGGCCAGCTCCCAAGTAGGTGCCAGACAACTCTTGAAATCAGTGGGCATATTCTCTATTGCTCTCCATCTTGGGCAATGTGATGCAAGTGCTGCCTTCTGCCTTCTGCCTTGCCAGTTGGTACGGGTATAAATGACAGCGCAAGGTCCAGCACAGTGAGGACTCTGTCCCAGTGCAGCTCCACCAAGCCACAGAGGTTGAGCATCCTCCGAGCTATTCCCCTTCCTCTACAGCTTCCACCCTTGCCAGCACAACTGTGCCTGGGAGTCCCTAACCCAGGACACGGTGCCCCCGGCCATCTCCATGAGCCAAGGGGCACCGCTGAAACTTAGCTAAAGTGTGTTTTGTTCTCTGACATGAACTGCACGGCAGCAGACACAGCTGTGTGATGCTGGAGGGATCGTGTACTTACAGAGCCCCTGGCACAGCAACATGTGCCACCTACAGAATTACTCATTGGCTCCTTGTGGCTGGGAACACGTCAGTCCAAACCTTGGAAGTACAGTGCGTACGAAGCTCTCCCCAGCTTGCATGTGGCAGCAAGCATGGCTTGCTTTGTCACCGTCAGGAGCAATGGCACCTAGCACTTCGCTGGCACCTCACCATAGAGGATCTCGGTGACTAAGCAGGAGTGGACTGGATATCCTGGTACCCCTGGCTCCAGGGACCAGCATGACTCCCAGTTTCACTTGGAGGAGCAGAAGCCTGATCTTCCAGCATGACTAGCTGCTGGGAGCTCAGCTGCCCCTATTTTGGTGCCTGGAGAGTCTGGATCTGTTCAGCAAGGGGGGTTGGCTCATAAAAGGCCATCCAGGGAGCCTGCTTCAGAGGTGGCAGGAGGGTGCAGGTGCTCTGTCCCATGGTCTAACCTCTAAACTGCGCGTGCCTACCAGTCCCTAAACCTGGGACGTGATCAGCCATGGCAAGCTGCTCACATTCCCAGATCCTGAGGCACGAGTCTCTGGCAGCTGCCAAAAGCAAAGTCCTCCACCACTTGGCTGCTTCTTCTTACAGCCCCGGCACTCAGAAATGTGCCCAGGGCTTACAGCACCTGCAGCCCCCACAGCTGCCAGACGTCCACGCTGCTCCTAACAGTTCAGCCCACGGGCCGTCCGCTAGGAGCTGCTGCTTGTGACTGCCCCAGCTCTCACCCCAGGTCTGAGCTGGGCACGGAAGTGGTGAGTCCAGCTCCATAGTCCACGTGCACTGATGTCCCACCTGCTAGTCCAGGAGAGAGCACGAGCCACCTGGAGAACAACAGGCAGGAGCTCTGATGGCTCAGCCTCTGGCTGGGAGAACAGCCGGACAGTAATTCAGAGCCCTTGGAAATGGGGGAATGGTCTGGGCAGGGCTGCCCTCGGTAGTATGTGCTGGAGGGTCGCTGGGAGCTGAGCGGGGGATGAAGGAGCCTCCTTCCTTGGGCAGATCTTCCCCTGGCCTCACGGAGCAGAAAGAGCAGGGCAGGCAGAGCAGGGCTGAGGGCAAGTGGGACTGGACCCAGAGCTCTGGCCCTTGCATAGGTCACCCCAGGAAGCCAAGATCGAGTGCTGGCAGCACCCCAGGAGGGAGTGGGAACACCAGAGGGCACCTCACCTGTTGCTGTCTCTTAGGCCTCCTCCGTCACAAGGGTGGCATTTACTGCATGGTCCTTGTGTAGGTGGTGCTAAAGGTGCAGCTGCTGGTCCAGAGAGCTGAATGCAAAGAAGACAATGATGGGCAGGCAGTGTTGCCAAAGTCATGCCAAAAAGGCTTCTCCTTGAGGTCTCTGTCTCTGGGCATCAGGTTCCTGGACAACAAGGCAAGATTCCCCCTGTGAGCACCTGTCTCCTTCCTCCTCCTCCTCCTTATGGCACACATGGGCGGAAGGAATGGCTGTTGCCTGATGTGGCCTTGGCTGCTGTCGCTCCCACATCTGATGCCACTTCCACGGGGCTGCACAGCTTTAAGGGGAGAGCTCAGATCAGAGGAAGCCAGGGGTTGCCGGGCTTGGCTCCTCTCTGGTGGCGCTTAGCCTGGGTCATTAAATGAACTGGAGACAAACTGCCCCCACTCCCCACCTCACAGGCTGGGAGGAGGAAGGCAGAGCTCTGCTCCAGGGACCAGGCCTTCCCACAGGGAGGTGCAGGCTGGATTGGACTCACCTGTCTACCTACCCTGCCTCTTGGAGTTTCTAACATACCCATCACCACAGCAGGCAGGCACCAGAGTCAGGGAGAAATCATGGCACGGGTTACAGAAAGAAGATGCATTGCTCAAGCTGGCAAAGGAAGGGCTGGGGAAGGAAAGTTAGCAAGACAAAGGAGAGAGACAGAGAAAGCTGGGGAAGAGAGAGAAGGATCGTATGAAGCAGCAGAAGAGATGAGTGAAATAGCAAACGGGAGAGATGGAGGAAGAGACGACAAAGAGAAAGGGCAGGGGGGAGAAGGAGGAAAGGGGAGAAAGCAGCAGGTGGGGAGGGAGCACGTACCTGACTGCACAGATTGCCCCTCCATTCAGACCCCCCCCCAGCATGACGAAGCCTGAGGGGACAATGCAAGCCAAAGGGACCTCTGGCTCCTCAACCCCCTGTTCAGCATCTCTGGCTCCATCCTGCAGACCACAAACACAGGGCCATTGTTAGAAATGAAGTGTGTTGCTGTGTGCTCTCCAGTCCCTTCCTCCCAACAGTTCGCCATCTGGGAAACCCACCCCCGACCCAGTCCAGGCTACCCCGTCCCTCGCTTCCATGCAGTGGGTGCTATTAGCTCTCCACTACCTGCTGAGTCCTTTGCACTGCAGCTCCACACAGACTCTGGGGCATGTTCGGGGACCCGTAGAGGCTTTCTGCTCATGTTGGAGCTGAGAAAAGAGGCCCTGGGCCTGTGAGTAAGGGAGGCTGGAGGAGGTCGGGAGGGTCTTCCCAGGTGGGGAAAAGCAATTCAGAGTGATTGGCAAGCATCTGAAGACTTCCAGTGCCCTGCAGACAAAGCACCCCAACCAGCCTAGGTTGGAGATGCCCCCAGGAGGGCTGGGACCAAATGCTGCCTATGAGTGAATGATCCTGAGATCATGTTGGCTTGACTCTGCAAGGAAGCCTGTTAGGAGGGCCCTAGCAGCACCGCCGGGCTGTGGGCATGGAGCTGGGGGAGGGAGCCCATGGATGGGGGTCTGGTTGCAGACAGGCTCCAGTTCCTGGCAGGCTCCCAAGGTTATTCAGGGGACAGGGATGGTTCCTGATGCATTCAGTGGGGAGGGGGCTTGGGGCCAGGGTTTGAAAAGAGCCTTTGCTGCCACACAGAAGGGCTCCCTTGTGTGTGCCGGGAGAGCACAGGCAGCTCAGAGGAGCTTTTGTGAAGGGGCTCAGAGGCAGCAGCTCATGGCGGCCAATGGGCATAGTCCTGTACTTCCCAGCACGCAGGGAAGGGAAGGGTTAACTCTGCCCTGGCCACCTCTGTTGCCCCCTCAAGTCCAGCTCCGTGGGGGCCCGTGAACTCTGCTACTTGCAGCTGCTTGGATGGGTCTGTGGGGTCTCGCTCTAGTCTTCAGCATGGCTGATGAGCAGCTAGAGGGAAAGGAGTCAGTTCAGGGCTGAGATGGGGTGAGTTGGCTCGGTCTCAGCCTTGCCCCCAGGCTACATGCATCTCAGCCACTAGCACAGCCAGCGCTAACCTCATGCCAGCTGCTACGGAGGAGCGAAGAGATGCTGAGCAATGAGATGGAACTGGTCTGACACCGCTGGAGCCAACCCCAGGCCGGGGGCGGGGGAAGGCAGCAGTGGGACAGGCTGGCTGCGGGTCACTCCTACACTGACCCCACTCGTGGATAGCAGGGGCACCCGTCTCTTGGGCTCCCCATGACTCCTCTCACCAGCCATTTATCTCCCCCTGCCCCCCCCCACTGCTCTTTAAAGAAAAGGTACAGATCTCTTAGGCACTTGCTCCCCTCCCCCCTACGCCGCCGCACAGAGATGCCAGCCAGCTGCTCCCTGCTGCACAGCTCCGTGGCACAATCGCTCCTTTACCCCTCTTAAATTATTGCCTAATGATCTGGAAATCCACCTGTAACAGGATTACTCTGAGCACACAGCATGCCCAAGCTGTCAGCACTGCCCCACCATGGCACATGAGCCTGGAGAGACAGAGGGACAGGAAAAGCAGGGGGGGATACCTCCAGTGCCAAGTGACAGATGGGCTATTCCTGCCCCTTGAAGGTGCCCAGCTGCCACAACGAGGGACATCAAATAAGAATCAGAAAACAAAACCCCCAGAAAAGAGAGAAAACGGCTGGTGGGAAAAAGAAAAGTGGTGCTAGGATGTGTAATATTCAGCAAACAGTGGGCACTCCTCAGCTACGTACTGTTCCCCCTCCAGGATGACGGGAAACTCAGCCCTCATCCCCTTCACATTTCTGTGCAGCCATCCAGTTCCAATACTCCTGCCATTGCCATTGCCAAAGACTCAACGGTCCATCCTCACGTGGGGCCGTGAGGCCAGTAGCCTCATCAGAGAGGCAAGAAGGGGTCATGGATCCATGGCCAAGCCCCTTGCCTCATCTCCAGCCCTGGCCATGAGCTCACATTAGGAAAGCAGCTGTTCACTGCCTGCTGGCCACTCACTCCCCTCCATCCCTTGGTACCTGCCACACAGCAACTCCGCAAGGCGCCACGTTTCTACATGTGGAGGTCTGCTGTCGTCACTCGGGACCTCAGGTACCAGGGCTGAGGGCACAGATGCTGCTCTAAGAACTGGTGTCTGGGCCTTGGCACATGTCCGCAGACAGACAGGGACAGGCTGGGTGTGTGCCTGTGGGTGGAATAGGAGCCAGGCCCATGCACCAGTCCCCGGTGTAGCTGCCCTGATGCAGCCCTTACAGGAACGTGATGTCCCTCTGAAGGTCAAATCACAAGACCTGCCTTTCTCTAAGGTGAGCTTCTACCCAGCACCATGGGCCAATTCACGCCAGGTGCAACTGCCACAGACTCGTGCCTGTTGTTGTTGGGGTGCGCGCTTGGCCCCAGGCAGCACCGGGCACCTAGAAACCCCCCCTTGCATGCTCCTTGCCAGCACCATGAGCCAGTGGCCAGCAGGTGGCGGCAGCAGGAACCGCATCCAACTAATAACAGTGATAATGGGAGAATATCCATAAATCATGAAGGGGAACTCAGCAGCCGTGACCTTTCGCCACTTCCTGCCTCGAGGCTGACCAGTGGTCTTCCTCAAGAAGCTGGGCTGCTGCCTGCTGTTGTCCAGCCAGGGAGCATGCATGGTTTGGGGCAGGTGGGGTCCTTTGGGGGGAGGACATGGGAGCAGAGGTAGGGGCAAGACAAGGCAGTGAATGGGGATGGTGCCAAGAGAAGCAAGGTGGGTTTGGCCAGACTGGTCTATGTGGGTGGAGGGCAGGCTGGCGAGGCCCCACAGCCCTTCCTTTGGGTCCCTCATTTTGCACAAGGAGTTGGAGGTCCTCTAGAAGCTGGACCAGCATGTGGACAGGCAGTGGAGGAAACCTCTAGAGACTTCTTGGGTGAGGCTACAGCAAGCCAAGCAACCCTCCCCCAGACATAGCCCAGGACAAATGCATGCAGAGGCCCAGCTGGGCTGTCTGGAAATGGGAAAGGACAGTTTAGAGCTGGGCTGCCTCTGCTGGGGTGTGCTCCCAGCCTGCAGATGGGAAACCAGGAGGGGCCCCTGGGCCCGACTTCCACCCCATATGTGTGTGCTGCACCCGCTCTGAGCCATGGGGGCAGGGAGGCAGAAAGGAGCCCCCTGTTCAGTGGGGATGGTTTCTGCAGTGTTTCCCTCTCTGGAGCTAGACTGACACCGTGCTGCAATGGGCTCTTGAATGAACTGACTTCAGAGCAGGGCTTGGCAGCTCACAAGTCCATCTAAAGAAAGAAGGAAGAGAAGGACAGGGGAGTGCTGCCCTGCCAGGAGAGAGATGAAGTCATGTCCAAGTCCCAGACCAGACCCCACCTCCAACCCCACTTGGATTCCAGATGTGCACAGCTGTGGGCGAGCCATCCCATGCTAGGAAGGTGCACGGGGGAAGGAAGAAAAGAGGGAAGGACATGGACAGTCCAAGGCAGGAACAGTGGTTTCTCACTGCCCTATAAATACTCCCCCAATTTTCATCACCATCCCCCCTGCTCAGCCTCCTGCCCCTTCATCTTTCCTGGTTCATGGGACCTGAAGTTCTTTATATTCAGAAAGAAAAGTGCTCATGTTCTTGCCCTCCTGTGGGGTTCAGGCATCACCTCCCTTTAAGGAGACAAAATGACTTGGGTCTGACAAGCGAGATGAGTCTGGGGCTCTCAGCCCAGATCCTGATGTTCAGGGGTCACCCGCTTCAGCAGAGGCCACAAAGCAGGGCCGCTCCTGAACCCCCACATCTGAGCATCTCAGCACAGTGGCAGCCAGCAATGCGGGGAAATTTGCCCTGCTGCCCACCCACCCCTGCCCAGGGGGTGAAACCATCAAGGAGGCTGACACACGCAGCAGCAAGAAGCTTGCCTGTTCACGGCACAGGGGCTGGAGCTGTGGTATGAACCCACCTCGGAAGCCAAGGGCTTCCCCACCCCCCTTTCTCCTCCAAGGTCTTGGACCTGCTTTCTCACAGCAGGATGCAGCAACATGTGCATTCAGCAAAGCCAGAAGCCACTCAGCACCACACGCTCCCTGCACCCGCGGGTGTCCCCGGGGAGCGCCTGGGAGAACACGCGCCAAGTGGCAGATGTGCCGTCCTGCTGCCTGATACGCGGCTCAGAGCGTGAACGTTGCCTAAGAACCAGGCTAGAACAGGCCTGCGGGAGCAGGCGGCAGGAGATGGGGAGGCTGCGCATGAGGACGCTCCTTCCCCAGCCTGAACCATCAGTACTGCAAGGTCGCGGTTTGGCCCACTCAGACCCTGAGGTCTCCCTAGGTGCACCTGTGGCAGAGGCTGGGCCGGGGCAGGCTCCTCTCCAAGGCAGGTGGAGGAATCCAGTCCAGTCCTCCCTCGAAAGGGCAGCCAGGCCAGAGTGCTTGAGCCCTCCCTGGCTGCCCCAGCCACCACTGTGTCGTCGCAGAGCAGGACCATGGACAGTGC